GTCGGTGCAGGGGGCGGGGGGGGCGGGGGGGGCAGACACACACCCACAATACATTTACAATCACTGGAAAAGCCCCGCTGCTGTACACACAGGTTAAAAAAGAAAAAAAAAAAAAAAGAGATGAGACCAAAAAGACGTGTCTAGAGTCCTCACCGTAACCAACCTGCCACCGCTAACGCTAATTAAGCTTTATGAAAAAAAAGCAACACAGCTATTGGATACAGTGGCTTTTCTCACAAAGACAGGAATCCCTCTGTAGGCAAACATCACTCCAGGATTAAAGCAGACACAGGTAGGTGGAGGGCCAGGCACCCCCCACCTCCACTCCCCCCTCTGTGCACTGATTGCCTGCATCAAAGTGCTCAGTGTCAAGGGTTGAAACACCAAAGATTTCTCTTTTCTCTGTATGTCTGCATCAGGAACATCTGACATATTTCCTGCTCCTCTTGTTTAATGTGGCAAAAAAAACCCAACTTAACTTTCACAGGCCTCAGTTCGACAAATAGACATAAAACCTGCATCTGAAGTGCAGCAGGAACATCACGTAATACCACAGATTTTCATACTTCTGAAGTCAGTACTGCTTTCTTCACACAGACTGACAATCTGACACCTTACAATGTCTAACCCTTTAGGCTGATCTTCAGCTGTGACAGTCAGAGTTCTTAAAGATAGTATACTAGTGGGTACTGTTGCCTCATTCAGGACTTTTAAAACACAATGCAGGGGTTTAAGGGCTATAAGCAACAGTGTGCCCAATAGGTAAATTGCAATCTACTAGGAGATCACAAAGGGAGGGCTGGTAGGTCAGAAATAAAAAAACAAATAAACCATATACCTTGCATACATCTATCCTGCATTTATTATTGTGGAAAAAAAAATCCTCAAAAAAAAAAAAAAAAAAAATTGAACAACAGAGCGTGTTAGACTTACCCAGGTGACACGGCTCATCTAAATCATAGCAGGCTGCAGTCTTAAAGAAGCGCTGAGTAATGTGAGCTGGTTTTCTAAGGAGGAATAAAACAGACAACTGTTAATTTTCTCAGCACTGACACAATTACAGAACACAACGGTGAGCCGCATCATGCAACAATCTCAAAATAGTGCAGTGCAGGTTGTTCTGGTGGAGAGCTGTTAGCATGTAACATGAAGAGGTGAAGAATCTAGAACAGTGATGAGAAAACACCTAAAAAGGCAAAACTACACACACCCTGTTCTCTGAGTACACAGGGCGGTCGAAATCCAAAAATCTACCAAGCAGAGAACAAGAGGATCAATTACTGCAGATCATCACCACAGGTATGTCACTACGACAACGAGTTCTAGTTACCACATGGTCAGAGGAGAAGTTCCAGCTCTGAGTACCTGACGACCTGGCCTCTAAACACTCCTGAGCTGATGAGGAGATCCTGGTCAGGTGTGCAGAGCTCATCAGCTCAACTCAGAGCTGCTGTGGAGAAATGTTGATGCCACACACACACCGGACACACACACACCCCACCCATGCTAGGACATAGAAAGTCCTGAGAAACCACAACATTATTAAAACACTTCAACGAAGATGATGTCACCGGGTCCTGCTCTGATCCTACAAGTTTGGAATTTTTAGTTAATGATAACGCATTGCCTAATTGCACATAATCAACGCTAATGTACTTCTTTTCTTCACACCTTTCATGTACTTTATTTTCTGGACTATAAGTCGCTCCGCAGTGTAAGTCGCACCAGCCAAAAAATGCATTATGAAGAAAAGAATATATATATAAGTCGAACCAATGCCCGTTAGAGGCTGTCAGTGTGAAAATAACAAACATGTCAATTTTCAGTGGTATAGCAGTAGTAGATACTGATACACAGGCCTAGAGTGCCCTCTAGTGGCTGTCAGTGTGAAAAATAACAAAAGTGAAATTAAATATTTTAATATATAACTTGCACCTGAGTACCTAAGTCACAAACCCAGCCAAAGGATGAAAAAAAGTGCAACATATAGTCTGGAAAATACAGTAATTTATATTGTCAGACATATCATTTGAAGTGAACCACAGAGTTGTATGTTCCATATGAAAACATATTGTCATAGTTTTTCCCCAACAATTAAGATTGTTCTAGAACAAACCCGGTTCTTCAATGAGTTTAACGATTTTACCAACCATGTTCAATCTGTGCACACGTCAAAAAAAAAAAAAAAAAATCTATTCCCAAACAGTATGTGACACATGACTGAACGCAATTTTTTTCCATTAGAAGCCCTCAGGCTTTGTTAACAGCTCAGCAAAAAGGCAAATGGTGCGTGATGGAGGGTGTGTCAGCCCCCTTCACCCTGCACCAATCCTGTCATTGTCATCACCGTCGTCTGGCTTTGAAGAGCAATTGACTGTGAACGTTCAACAGTCGAAAAGTATCGTGGTAATTGGAGCAATTGTGTCCAGGCCTGGTTGTGGAACATAAAGGCAGGATGAAAATGGTGAAGAGGCTGAAGAAGGACACATCTATGGTATAAAATAACTTTTTTGGGCCACTTCAGCTAACTTATTTCAAACTTAAGCTTTTTAGGGATTCTTTTGACGAATTGTATCTAGTTATGTGTTGTTGTTTTTCATCGATTCATTTGCTAATGTCATATTTCCTTGAAATATTTCCTAATCAATAAGAAATATTCTTCTATTGAGTCTCCGGTCTCTTTGGGGACATGAGTTTCCCGCCCCTGCCATTCGATCAAAACCAAGGTCGGCGAGCAACAGTCGGTACAGGGTCATGGGCTTTGGGTGGTTTCCTTTGTGGTATCTGTGCACACATCTGCCTTACATGCAGACTGTCCTGGGTACAAGGAACCACAGGAACCAAATGCTGTCACTTAAAGACAAATAAATGATTGATTTAAATGTATTTTGGACATGTTTCCTTTTCTAAATCCTTGCTAATTTTGGACTAATTTGGTATCTAACTGAGAAATGGACTGCTGTTGCCAAAATTTCTCCAAATCTATTCATAAACCAATAAAAATTACAATTAAACCAGCAGACAGGAAGATATTTAGATTTTTGTGCAGAGATGTAATAAAAAAAAATCACACATTTTTATTTATTTTCCTGAGACATTTGGACCATCTCACCGTGCCTTTAAATAGTGACTTTAATAGAAAGTGTAAAGTGCCCGTTGTAAAGCTGTCACTTTTATCCTCTTTGCAATTTACGACTATATGTCTGCTGTGAAGCAACACTAAATGTCAGTTATTTATGCGTGTTGATTGACACACAGTTTCTCACGTTGGGGAAGTGTGAGGCTGATGAGAAAGAAACATTAGTTAGTGGTAAAAATGAATCAAAATGATCCAGTTCAAATTCCCCCGTGATAATCAGGCTGATTAACTAGTGCAGCCAACCAGCACCTCTACTGGACCTGGTGGTTCTGTCTTTATGGGACAGAGGCACGAATTGGTACTCTGTAAATACTTAACAGAGTGGAAAACCGACCCAGTACATGCTGGTAATGTGAAGTATACAAAGCTGAGAGTGAAGCTCCAAACAGTTGAAGCAGCGAGGTGGAGGGTGATAGCAGGGTTAGCCAAGACCAGCAAGACTGCCGGTTGTGTAGGTGGCATCTATAGAAGAAATATCAAATGTATAACACATCTAACCTGTCTGTTCCAGATTATTATGAAACAAGATGCGTACGCAGCAAAGATTGTTCTCCAGCCAACCAAAAACACAGCCAAAAGACAACGTAAGAATAAATTTGTTAAGAAAGCAGCAAGGTTTTAGATACCGCAATTATGAAAACATCGGTTTATTACCTCAATATTCAATATCTAAAGAGTTTAGTTGAAAGCAACTGGACTTCGTCTTGGAGTTTGAAATACATTTAGTTCCTCAACTAAGGAAGTTCCCAGTTTTCAGTTCTTCTTCAAGAAGAAGTCCAGTTGCTCACAACTAAAGTCTTTGGATAACATGACCTGGAGGAATGAGAATCTTCACAAAAATACAAGTGTACAATACAATATTCTAACACACTAAACCACTGTACCTTTAAAAACAATCTATGAAGATTTGTGGTGGCTCAGTGGTTAAAGAAGCGGACTTGGGGGCAGAAGGCTTCAGGATCGAGTCTCTGACCATGGCACCGTCCCCACACACTGCTCCCTGGTCCTTAAAGCTGACCACTGTTCACTTTGGTGATGGGTTAAAAGCAGAGGTCACATTTGGTTGTGTGCAGTGGTGAGCTGTGTCACAATGACAAGGAGTTCACTTTCCTTCCTTCCTTAACTGCAGAACGCTGTGTGGCATCAGCCTGCTGGAAAAAATATGGCCTTTCTTTAGTTTGTATTACAGTCAGTTAGATAATTGTTAGTTAATTGGACATGAGGTGAGTGTGTACTGTACACTGACGTTAACTGCAGCAAATGATGAATTTTCAGCCTTGGTGAGTCCCTTTGATCAGTCTGACTCAGCACCATACTCGGGTGCAGTTCCACTGAAATGGTATGAATATTAATCACCTGTGTGCACATGTGGTACATTATTAAACAGGATCACAGCCAGATGTGTCACGGTGTTATCATGATTTGCCCCGGCTGCTCTGTAGGTTGTTAAAGTAGGATGTGAAAAGGACCAAATCCATTTTACTTCTCCTTACTCTACATTAGACCCATATTTTCCCTCTCACTGAGGCAATCACTCTTCATCACTAAGTTGATAATAATAACTAATAACTAGCTTTATTAGCTGCGCTAACATACTGATTGTGCATTCATGCCTTGGCCGGGGATCCCGGTGAACACAAGTCACATTATTCTAATCAAGTGCAGTTGTGACATGACAGCAGAGACGTTAGCCCCTGTGGTGGAACATGGGTATGATTTATGTCTGCTATCTTTAACCACATTACAGAAGCAACATAATGGACACCGTCAGAATGTTATTGCACATTAGTCAGGATCATTCTCATCATATTAGAATGTAAATATGCCGGTGGACATGTAAAAGTGAGACATGTTTGAGGTCTACAGAGATAAGTGTGCATTTGTATAAACAGGAGAAGAGTCCTGTAGCTAACAGGCTAACACGACAACAAAACTATATTCTCTTAGAAGGACTAAAATAAATCAGACAAAGAAAAATGATTCTGCTCATTTGGCAATTCAAATGTGGGCCACAAACTTCAACCAAACTGTCCGTCTTTGGCCATAATGTGGGCCAGAACATCATGCCGGCCAAGATTTGAACAACATTTGGCTGAGATCATAAAGCACTATCCCAACCGTGAGCCTCAGACTTCAACCCAATCATCCATGACAAGGGAGAAATTAGGTTATACAATACAGAATGAATCAAATAAATAATTATGGAAGATGATCATTTGAGTAAAAAAGTATAAATAATCTAAAGTAAAACTAAAATACTGTATATTCTTATAGAGACAACGGTTTGGTTAAAATCCATTTTTTTTACACTAATAAAAGACACAAAGTGCCACACAAACAATACCTGAGCTGACATTACTTCTTTGAAATTGACCTCTCTGAGTGACTTCACCTAGTGATTCCTAGAGGAAGCCAGGGGGCGTTAAAGGAAGCTTAAAAAATTGGGCGGAAGATAAAAAAAAAAAAAGAAAAAATATTTTTTTTATTTTACTTTTGTTCGATAACCAATTGTCCTGAACCAAATAAGCCATAATCATCAAATTACCAATTTTCTGAAGGTACACGAACGCACCTTGCTGCTTCGTCATGATGACATCATAATCTTTGTAGACCTGGTAGTTATCAAAAAATAAAAAAAAAATAGATCATACAAAACATGAGATCACTAATATGATTTGAGTTTGAATTTCTACATTTATTTATCGACTTGTTATTAATCTCAGCCAACTCTCCAGGTGTCAGTAGCCCTGTGGGCCTCATGTGCACGGCTGTGTGGATACAACAGTCCATCAAGGTGACGCACTGCAATTAAACAGCCCTGGTGTGTTGGCAGTGAGTTGTCATCGCCCTGCTTTGTCACTGATGCACTGGGCAGCGGTAAGTGTAATTGCTACAGGCTTCCAGGATAAGGTTGAGCTCTCGTCTCTCTGTAGTATTGGAAAAAGCTCGGCTGTGAGATCGGCTATAAAGGACACTTGTAATACATTGACGAATGGGGCTACAACAGCTGCCAAATTAACAGTGACCTCGCTCTCTCTGCTGTCTGGCGTGGGAGATAAAGTACAGAGTCCTGTCGGGAGGTGTGCTTAATGTTCAAGGTAATCGCTCTGTTATGTGAGTTCAATTTTATAAAAGGCAGTAAGCATCAATTAAACTTCTGAAAAGCATCATTCTTGAACCTGTGAACCAAGCTCTTAGAGCTAATGTACGGTTTTGGAGACGTACAGATGTAAATGACAGGTAACTGTGAAACTAATGCTCTGCGGCAGACCTCCCCTCTGTGTTGCTGTTGGCTGTGCTTACTTAGTAAAAAGAGCCTCGTTCATAAACAGTGTTTACTAGGAGCAGAGGCCATTAATATTAATGGCGGCAACTTCATAAGGCTCATATTCTGGCACTGGACACTTTTCTATGATGTTCGACTAAAATCAAAGCAGCGCAGCATTTCCACAGAGCTGTGCTGCGAAAGATGCTGAAAGTAGCATAAGTAAACAAGAAGGAAAACTGCCCTGTACTCAGATTCACACATGTAAGGGAGGTTTTCCAGTGGAGGCTGTCATGTCGACCTTTTGATGCGGCCGGAGTTCATCTGCAAGTCTTTTTGAGCATGAAAGTGTGGTTGCAGATTCTGGCCTCCAGAGCATCTATTATAACGGTGACCTCAGGAAGTCTGGTCAAAGTTAGTGCGCCGTAACTTGAGAGCTTCAATTAAAGACTCCATCTGTGCAACTTTATTAGCGAAGCTGTTCACTGGAGCACGTGAACGCTGGCTTTCATTTTTCAGCCCCGTGTACGTGAACCAGAGCAGCAGCTCGTTGATCAAACTCCAGATCCACGTCCTGAGAGCTGGACTCGTCCCTCAGAGGACAGTACGTCTCTGAGAGGCAGCGTCTCAGCACTTGGAACAGTGTTCCAAGTTGAAATATATATATATAAATGTATATATATATGACTTTTTACATTTAAATACAGTTGATTGATTTGAAAATCAGATGAGTTTTCCAGTTTCAGAAAAAAATTTAAAATAGGAATAAGAAAAAGGAATGTTGTTGACGTTATTCTCAGTACAAAATCATCTTGACTTAGAAGATTGAATAAGAACTCTGATATTTATTTCAAAGATTTCTGAGGAAAAAAAATCCCCATTTCTGCTCTAATTGCTTTCCTTTTTTTAGTTTTGAAGATAAGAGTCAGAAATTATTTTTCCAAGTGATTACCATTATTGGAAGAGAGTCACTGTTTTTCAGAATTACAAAAAAGAGAGAAAGAAACAAGCCATGTACCAGAATACGAATGGAATTGTACCAGTGTATGAATAAGTCACAAAAAGTCACTGAAAGATATACTGAATCAATCTTTATTTATATTAAATTAAAAATATACTTTTGACGGATTCATGTAACAAACATGTGGAACAATTCTTCTATGATATAAAGCTTTTGGGTATGCTTTAAAATGACAAAGAAACAAACAAAACAACAGGGAGGAAAGCTGTACTGTACCTTAATGTTGGTGAGGAGGAGGAGGAAGGGAAGGAGGAGGAGGGGGAGGAGGAGTTAGTCGACTACACAGCATGCAAATCAGGAGCTAGGCAAAAAAAACAAAAAAAAACAGGTTGTTGTATGAGACCACTGTGCTCTGCCTCTGAGGAGTGAGGCAGGGAGGAGGTCCGACTTGGCTCAGTTACATCATAGTTCCAGTAGGAGAAGCAGAGAAGGTTGAACACTGACTCCAACACTGTTCATCCAGGTTGGTTGGCAACAATGGTTTCTTTTCTTAAGGAAAGCGTCTAAAAGCAAAGAGAGACGAGGACAAAGTTCTGCTCTCAGTAATGTAGAACAAATGACGACAGAGAGCACGGGTTCCCATTTCCTCCACATCTACCCACGGACGGAACTCTGGGGGATTAGTCAGGAACGTCACGCCACAAAAGCCACCAAACAGAGACTCACATGGGAATGAATGGACGAGGATTTTTAAAATGGAGTTCCCATTAGTCAAAGGTACACTTACAGAAGAAGAAGAAGAAGAAGAAAAAAAGGCAAACGTACTGCTTTTCATTTATATATGTTGTTATTAACCAGAGAAAAACAGCGTCGGTTCCTTATTTACAGACTGACTACGGCCTCCCTCTTCAGTGCTTTTACAAAAATACTATTCACATTTGATGTTTTTTTTTTTTAAGTGTGTTAGATAACTTCTGGAGGAACAGCCCCCAGAAGAGTATTTACAATTATACTTTGATTTGGAGAAATATATTTATATGTATATATATTATTTATGGCATCCATTTGTGGGTTATGTAATGACTTGTGCAATTACAATGCAAAAGTATAAATGATGAAATTGATGGAACAATGACAGACTTCCACATTAAAATCCAAGATATCTTTAAAAATCAATTTTCAAATATTTTTTTTCTTTTGGCATTGTACAAAATAATCCCTAAAAAGCCAATTTGTGCTACCAAAAATTTGTAAAAAAAAAAAAAAATCTTTTGTTGCACATTGTTCACTCTCTGGACAGAAATTGGATATATTATAACTGGTTACATATGTTGGCCTGTCACTGCTGATAAATGTTCATTTTGCAAAACACATTAACACCAAAAACCAGGGACAAACAATTTAACATCTTCAACAAAAGTACACACATGAAAATAAAGGTAGAAAATGGATGCAAAGGGATTCACCTGGTACTGGCAGTGAAGTGGACAGAATTAAATAAACACTTTTACGCATTTTCTGCAAGCCTCTCAGTGAAGCCACTCCAACAGTTGGCATGCAAGTCTATGTATGTACACGTTAGCTAACACGTCATGACCAGTAGGGTCCATTCTTAGTTCATGGTTTTGTCTGTTGGAAATAAGACGAAACCTGGTTTGAGGGACAGTTGAGTTTAGGACGTCTGTTGGAAATAACATCTCTGGTTTGAGGGACAGTTGAGTTTAGGACCAGAAACCAGAAACCGAGGGGTCAGCCGAACAGCTGGGTCCACACATCATCACCACTGCTGGGTCCTACTGGATCACCCTGCTGTCAATCAAACACTGCTAATCAGGCTACTGCCCAGCTGGACCATATGGAGAGTATATGATAATGTTTAAATAGTTCACACAAAAAGGTCATGACAACAACTGACTATTAACATGCAAATCATGGCTACGGTCAATGATGTTGAATAATAATCAGTCCTGTGACAGACCATGGAGAAGGTACAGTAGGTGGAGGGATGGAGGGATGGAGGGTTAAGGTGAGACCTGCGTCATGGCATTAGCTTTGGAATTAGCCAAAGTCTCTCTGTCTTAACATAGACGTTTATATTAGGGATTGCTTGATACGATACTCAGGATTAGTACTGACCTGATATTGGTCAAAATTTTAGGATCAAACATAAAAAAAATGTTGTAAAGGAACACTATTTCCTCAGTAATGGCAGCATGCTGGAGGAGAAAAGAAAGTATCAGGATGATATCGGTATCACCAGGTACCTGAAGTTGCAGTATCAGTATAGTACATAATAAAGTATCAAACCATCTCTAATTTATACCATAGAGTCAGGATCAGCTGATCTGTTCAGTTGATGATGTAATAGTGTTTATTACCTACATTTTAGTCATTTGGCCTCATGTAATTTAGGCTTTTATTTTGAAACAATGACAATATGTTACCTCTCATCTATAGAAAATCCCTGTCCATCTATTTTGTAAAACTGTCTGGTACTGAACTACAGCTGATGTAGAAAATGTTCATTTGTCCTGTTCATGGCCACAGTGTTTGTCGAATGTGAATGCAGCCTAACTGTATTTCCTGTTCTGAATGTACCATCGTCTATAGTTTGTTATTGTGACCCTGTGTTATACATTAATGTGTCCATACAGGAGATGAGGAAAACAGTAATGAAGGATTAGAGTCCGCAGAATAAGGCTACATCAATCTGCTCCTTGACTGACAGGAGAAAAAAATACATCAGTAAAAATAAAAAGCTGCCACGGAGCAGGAGTGTGTTTTGTTGGTCGCTAACGGGAAACAACTCATTAGCCTGTGGTGCATGTTGCACCTTTAAAAGAAAAAAAATATCAATCAACAGGAAAACAGCCGATGAAGCCACTGTATCCAATAAGAGTAAAGATAAAAAGTAAATACTTGTACAATTTGAAATAGTCCACACAGGGCTTCATGTCTGTACAGTGTTTCAGAGAGTTTTTTAATGAAACATATTTTGCCATGACTGCAGTAAAACTCACAGAGAACTCCAATCCCTGTGTTTCCTTTTTGAAAAAGAACTTTTTTGCCTTCATAATCCTAAAAAAATCTTGATGAATATTTAAACTAATCATAAATGCTGTTCCTTTTGAAACGAATCACAGCTGCATTAGGGATTCCTCCATCAAATAAACAGTGTAGCACAGAAGCAGCACCCAAAATACTATTAGAAGTAAACACACACACACACAAACGGAGAAAAGAGGGAATTAATGAAAACTGGCCAGAGATGTGTGTTTTTCTTAATGATCTCATGGTTTTCTGAAGGTTTCTTTCTTATGGTCTCAACATCTTAGAGGAGTAAAAGTCAGGAGTTCAGCTGAGGGCTTTCATCAAAGTGCTCGATGGGGTGGACAAGCAGATTACAGCTTCACATGTTCACACGGTCAGACAAGACATTTGCCAAACCATAAATAGATTCAAATAAATAATCTACAAAAGTAAAAGGTAAAAGGGATGAAAGACCCTAAAATACAAACAAATTCAAATAAATGACCTGGATAATGGCTGGGAAATGAACACCCGGAGCTCGTGCAGTGAGTCGTTTTCTTTTTTTGTTATTGTCGTTCATATTGGTTAAAAGTGAAATGGATGTTACTTCTAGGGGGATGGATATGTTATTGTTGACCCCCGCCACCCACCTCCCACAGTTGTCATGTATGGCTTGGCAAGAGAAAACAATGGCTGTAACAGCAGTACTTTTAGCAGCATTGACTGGCAGTTGGCCTGCTCAGGCATCACGAGTGAGGTTTCCAACTGTACTCTGTGACTGAAGGGCAGAGCAGCAGTCCACTGATAACTCAGGTCCGCTGATAACTCAGGTGTGTTTCTGTTACCACGACAAGGCATTGGGAAGAGGTTGTGTCTTGGACCAATGGCTCTACAGTAAAGCAAGGTCCAACACTGACTCTTAAGCAAAGGGACAATGATTGAGCTATAGTTCAGTTTCTACATTGGCACTACATTGGAGTTTTGAGAAAAAAAAAATTGCAAAAAAAGTTAAAAAATATCAATATCGATACACCAGGTTAACAGATGGGTATTTAGGCAAATTCACAGGCAGGGACGAGTCGCCGGTTTCTACTGAACATTGACAGAGAAGTGTCATTTTGTTTAGGTTTTTAACTCGTCACTATAAAAGTGTTCGACTAAAAAAAAAAAAAAAAATCGCTTCTTGCAAACCATCATGTTACTGTGGTTTACACAGTAAAATGGGCTCAGAAAAAAAGGTTCCTGAGTTTGATTAAGTTGGAACTCATCTGAGATGAACTGAATGAAAGTGGAATTGAAGTTTACATGAAGAGAGTTCAAAAATAAGACACAATCTTTGAGTGTTTGAGGTACATTAGAATTCATGTAAAGACACTGTACCTTTACAGGGGGTGGCAATACTAGAATCTAGGAGAAGTATTTACTCCAGTTTAACTCCATCCATATGTAACTAACCCTAATCCTGAACTCTAAGAAACTAACTTGTTGATGTGTGTGCTTGTGCTTGACTTTTCTGCCTGTACTTCACTGAGGTTCTGTCTTCCAAAAGTTTTTTTTTTGAAAAGCATTGTAACATGGTCCAATTTATTCCATGATTAAGAAAAAATCTTTTGTTATTCTTCCAAACAAATAATGGTTTTAAGTACATTGAAGAATACTACATTGTAGTTTTGGTATTTGGTTTTGAAAGGTGTACCAATTCTCTAAAAATAAGTATTTGGTTGTATTTCCCTCAAAGTCAAACTACAACCTGTGTAAGGGTTTGTGGAAGGAACTGTTGGGTACAGTGTGATGAAAACAGATCTGTATTAGGTCATGTACAAAAGAAATGTTCAAGTGAATATATGGAATAAATAAAAGATAGAGTAAAGTAACCAACCTAATTCAGTGGCGATCCTCGGGCTTGGTTTTCAACTTGCCAAGTTCACACTAATCCAATACTTTTGTTGTGCAGCTTTGCCATTTTAAATACTTTTCATAAATAAATATACAGTATAGTCATATAGTCGGTTGTTGTACCGTGCACTGTTAGTGTGTTTTTTTTACGTTTTCCCCTTTACGTTGCTACGACCACAGTCTCTGTGGTTTTACGGGAAGCTTCAGATACGACAGTTCGTCCACCTTCCACTGACATGGAAAAACTACGTTTTTACCATGTAACGTAAAAAACATGTAGCTTCATGATCTGAGTGAGAAAACCAGTGTATAAAAAAATCCATCGTAGTTTAGCGACCCGTGTGTAGAAAACTGTTTACAGTGTATACTTTCCCTTTTACCCTTTGGCTTAAAAAAAAAGACGTATTTTTTAAATTGACAGTAGCCAAAAAAACATCATTATGTTTTTTATGTTAACACTTTAGAAATTCATGGTAAAATACAAACGGGATAAAGAGAGATCACTGTAGTTTTGGGGCATCACAGTTTCACGATAACCACAGAAATATTAGATGGGTTCAGCAAGGGAAAAACGAAGGACGCTCCAGCAGAATCCTTTTCATCAGCTTTCATTTCTGCGACCTCTCTGTTCACAGACACTTCTTTGACTGTTCAGATCGATGTGTCTTGTTCTGTCACGGATCTGTTTCTCCTGCTCCACTTTCTGAAATCGACGCCTCTTGACAGCAAACATCTCAGATTTGCTGAGCAAGTTTCCCTCAGCAGACTGCAGTGTTAGACCATGTCAAAATAAGATAAAATAAAACACATCAAATGAATAAAACAATGCTCGTTGCTCCAATGGATGTAACAAGACAGTGGCTGGCAGTGTGTTTAGTCCCAGAAGTTGTGTCCATTTGACTGTGGTACTCGCTGTGCGAGGGAACAAAGCCACGCAACTCTGTATCTGAGGCTCAGTGATGTTCACGTGTTCCCACACCTTTACAGTCTGTACCCAGAGAACACAACGGGACTGAGCTGGATGTAATGAACACACGGACAGTAGGTCACAGGAAGTTGGGTTTTCTTGGTTTGGTTGGGTTTTTCTTCTCCCACTGCTGCTGCCACAGTCCACAGGAGGCGCTGTTCTCTCACTGAAAATCTGGGGCCAGAGAAGAAATCAGGGCTGCTGTTGTTAGAGACACACTGAGAAGAGTTTGTCATGTGGAACCATCTAGACCACAGTGTTCCGCTGCCTGTAAGGTGGTGGTGGCAAGACGGTGCCAGGTTTGAGGGAAAACTCGGACATGTATTCAGGGTTCTCCGCAACGGAGGGCCGTATGTGTCCATTCTGCTTGAAAAACAGTTTGGCGTTGGTGGAGCCCCCCTGGGTGCCGTCGTGTACTGCCTGGCTGGATGACTTTGGGGGCAGGCTGTGCTGCCAGTATTCAGGATTGTCAAAGGTCACCTTCAGCTTCTTTCCGCTGGCTTTACCTGTCATCTGTCCTCCGTGTTTGAGCATGCTGGCAGGGTGCATGGTTCCGTGGCTCTGATAGGCCGGGAGGCCACTGTGTCCTATGGTGGCAGAGGCGGACAGAGCACCAGGCGGACACACCTGGGATTGGGCGTTGGATCCTGTTTGGCTCTGAGATATGGAGCCTCCTCCTGGATGTCCCACAGGTTTGAGGGTGTGGTGACCGTGGAGGATGTGGGTTGGTGGACCATGATGGCAAGGCAGACCAGACGGAGAGGGCTGGGCGGTGGAGAGAGGGTAGTGCGGTAGACTTGTCTGGATCGTGAGGGGGAGGTGGGAGCCTGAAGTTGTGGCTGAGATAGAAGAGGGAGGCTGACTAGGGAGGGGAAGGCCGTTTCTTCTGAGGGCTTCCAGACCCAGGTCAGTGGTTTTATGAAAGGTGTTGAGGTAAAGGGGCTCGTTCATGTACTCATCCTCTCCTCTGGGCTGGCTGTTTGGTGTGCTGTGGTAACCTGGGTTGTCCAAGGCGTGGACCTCGCCATTTTTACGCCTTGACACAAATGGATTCTCCTCAATTGGATTCAGGTATTCTGCAAGACCGATCAGGAAAAACAGATGGTTGTAGGAAAGGAGAGAGTAAGAAAATGTAAGATAAAAGATTTAGAGAAATTCAAATGAAGCACAGTATAAGAAATAACCAAACAAAGGAACATCAACTTAAGGAAAAAGAGCTCAGAAACTAATGAGAAGAAAAGATAAGAAGGATAATAGTGATGATTACGGCCGCTTAGGACTCAACAGGCAACTTGCCAACAGTTTTTTTGGCACAGGAAACTCAATTTGCCGGAGGTGAAAGTACCAGAAAATGACCCTTTCTCGCTGATTACATTTCTGCAATAGTGGGGTGTAACACCTATTGATTTTGCCCACTCTTCCGCTCCTTGACATAGCATCAGGATCATTTTGCTACAGGCTTTGCTCATGAATCAAAGACAGAGAGAGCCAAGTTGATAGACAAATTATGATAAAAGACAAAAACATGACTCCAGAGTAGAAGAGGACATTTACCACTGTCGGCAAAATCTCAGGATTAATTTAAATCACTGGAAAAACAGAAGAATGGGATGGAGAACAAGAGATCATATCTCTGATTTAAAAAAAAATACAGAAGAACTCAGAATCTAGTTTTAGATTCAAACTACGCAGTTATGATTGTGCTCTTTGTACATCTGTTTATGTTAAAGTACAGTATATATACACATACATATATAAATATATATGTATGTGACGTACTTAAGATCACAAACATTTTAAAGCATTATTCATCAATTGAACCTGCTTTTTGGTATCTGTGCTCTGAAGAACGTAAAAAGCAACTACAATAATAATAATAATAATAATAATACATTTTATTTAAAAGCGCCTTTCAGGACACTCAAGGACACTTTTGACACTTTTGACACATGACATTTTGTGGGGCACAGTTGTTTTTTTGAGTTAAAGTACCTGAGGAGCTCTTGTCCTTCATAGGGGTCATGTATCCATCCTCATCAGTGTCCCCCCTGGTTGTCCTCTCCCCGAGGAAGATGGTGGGGTCAGCGCTGTATCTCTGTCCCCCACTGTCCTCCCCTGCGGTCTGGCTCACACTCTTTTTATGCAAGCTCCCATTGCACCTCTGGTCCTCCAGGGTCTGACCTGAGCCCCCTGCTGCTTCCTGGGCCCCACAGGCCTGGGCACCAACCGAAGAGCCCTCTGTCGAGTTTCGTCCACCGTCACGATAACCGAACTGGTTCTGAGTCAACAAGAAACGTCACGAGTAAAATTATAGACTTTGCTTAGGTTTTAGCTTAGAAGCTGTGAAGAATGTTCTTCAGGGATACGATGGAACTTTCTAGGGTGGAAAAAGGTGAAACAAGCCAGTCTAAAAATGTCTACAGTTCAGCTGAACCACAGGAAAAAACGCAATGCGTATGCCAGTAAAAAAAAAACCCTGTATGTGGTTGTTTATGCCAGCTGAACGCCACCTGCAGCAAGAGGAAGTGAGACTTAACCAGTGCAGCTGCCCGTTGAAGGTAAAACTCTCAGACAAAGTTCTCCTGGTATAGTCATCAGCCTTCAGGGACTGAGGGGCAGCCAGGCAGAGCTACATCTCAAATGCCTGAACCTCAGAAAAGAACAAAAACACCAGAATAAAATACAAAACATGACATGTGAAGCAAAGGCCTTCTTGTCGTGCTGTCTTTGCTTGCCGTGGGCTATTTAACCCAGGCCTACTCCTCTGCTCTCTTGCAAACTCCAAGAACTGCAGTAGCAATTATAGGAAGTGGAGCAACAAAATACAGGGGAAAAAAAGAAAAGTCCCGAGGTCATATCTGCCGCCTACTCACGATGTCTTCTCTTCAGTGCAATCAGCTTACTACTCCGACTCCGATGCTCATTCTTCCTTCAAAGCTGGTCATTATCAGCTCCTCTTTTCATGTCGAGCGTGTGAGAAAATCACAAGGGTTGGATTATCGGCTGTATCTGACTGTGTCTACTGCAGTGCAACCTGAATAACTAACTGCCTCAGTCAAGGTCAGACGAATGATTAAAGGTTTAAATTACACAGAAAATAACATTTGAATCATTCTGGCGTCAAGTATATCAACTATTACAGATGATATTTCGGCCCATTCCTGCGTTACCTTTAGCCTTTCACCAGTCTGTTGCCACAGTTGTATGATTCAGCGCCTTTTGGTGCACCATATTTTTGAACTAGATTGCAGGGAAGTCGGTCGGGAACATGCTCGTTATGTCTCACTACAATTTCATACTCCCAATGAAGTGTGTCTTTACATGATGATTCATGGTGTAAAGTACAACTTTGGCTTGTTTTTTTTACTAATACAAGCCAGAGCATGAAGTCAACTTACTCACCACACTACACATTTCCATCGTCTTTGGGTCAACGTCAGGTGAGCTTCAGCTGACTGAACTCATAATGCACAAAGTTGATATTTTCTTTGTTTCAGAAAAAAACTTTTCCTACAACAATGGCCTGTGTGTAGCAGAGCGTTAGCAGAAAAACTTTGGGTCTTTCAAACCCATCGATGTAACTGACACGAATCGATGTCTCCTAGGAGCAGTCGAACAGTTGTGTTTTTTTCTTCTAATTGTGTGCTAACACTGTCTCTACTTCTGATTGGCTTAAACAGACATTTTATCCTCAACTCAAACAATAGTCATAAACACACATGGCTGATGTTACTGTGTGGAAAAAACAGTCCTTAGTCCTTATTCTTTACAAACACAGATTTCCAATAAGTCACTGAATATTTATACAATGTCTTTAGGTGTGGATGGTGACATGTTTAAATTGGTTTCTGACTTGGACGAGAAAATGAATAACAATTCTATTTAACTCTTATTCTCTGTATATTTGCACAGACTGGCCCACTGGGGAACTGTCCAATCAGTGAACAGTTAGCTGGCTACACCAGACACCTCAAAGTAATTTACTTCTTTGACTTCATAGTTTATTCTTCACCATTTTTGTGCTGCAGTATCAATCCCCAAACTCCAAATATTTAATCAGCCAAAGTACCAAATGATAAGGTTTAGTTTGGCACCAGCATATAAAGGCTTTTAAATGTAAAGTACTTTTCTTTTTTGACCTCCTGCACATCTTTGCAGGATACATATGTGATCATCAGGGAACAACAGATCATGGTAAAGGTCAGTTCATGGTGGAGAAGGTGCACAGTCCCTCGTCTGTAGAACAGCAGCATGTGGTGTCTGTCCGCAGCAGAGCAAACAGCCGAGGCCACACTCACAGCCTGCCAGACAGCTCTGGCATTTAAAGGAAGCGTCTGTTATTTGCTTATGATGCTCTGAGTAATGACACCCAGAGGCCTGGGGAGTGAGTGCATAAATAGTCTCTCTCACACACACACAGTGAGAAGGAAATGATGGAGGTGGGACATTAGTAGAAAATCATCAGTGAATTGGAAGTTCTTCACCACCTTGGGCACGTGCAGAGGACAGAGAGTTGGACAGTCTCTGAGCAGAGACAGTACAGTTTTACAGAGTGCATCAGCCTCTTCTCTCACGTTGTACTTTCAACAACCCTGATACACTGGTGAGGTTATCTCCGAGCATCCGGAAATTTTATTTTGGTTTCATCAGAATGCATCAGTTATACCTTGTAGTTATAACACAGCTTCCTCTATCAGGGTACAAACCCAGACCAACTAATGAAGTTGGTCTGTTAAATAAATAAATAAACACTGAAAACAATGACAACCAATAAATACAATGAACACGTTAAAACTGATCAACTGATTTTGTGCAAAATAAATATTAAAATACAATGTTACGTCACATTAGACTACTTCACACTCACTGACTGTTTAGGAACTGAAGACAGAAATGGATTCAATTTTCTTTGGAGGATTATGGACCTCGGTCAGTCTTCGATGTGCCACACATTAAATCTGGACCGCAGGCAGACCAGTCCGGGACACACACACGTTTTTCTACTACAGTTCTGGATTTGTGTGGCTCTAAATGTCCCTCCCAAAAACAATTTGTGGACTTTGTCTTAGTTTGCAAATATAGTAAAAAACTGTCTTACCAC